AGCCTCTACCTTTTCTCGGATAAATGTGTATGTTTTTCTATACAAGACCATTTCCGTAATCACCAAACGTTTCTGTTAAAAAAGTCCATAAATTACCAAAAAGTCCTTAGTATTCATGCGTAAGCAAAATGCAAGGTGAATATTCGTTCAAATAATGTATGTAATTAGGTAAAACAGAAGTAAACGGACCTTTAAAAAGCAAGCACAATACCTTTGAAGTATACAAACTCGTCAATTGCCCAGATATGAGTGACTTTGGAGAGCAAGAATCGGGAATTTGTTCGACCCGAGTGGTACTCGCCACATAGGAAGAATGACGCCCTGTGCGCCCACATCAACATGGACAGGCTAGGCAACCAGTATTTCCTTCTGTTCTAATATTCATTAGATGAAACATTAAACCATGACTCTACAATGCAAGTGAGTAATACGCTTATAATTCCGTGTTGACTTCAATATCTCTGCTGTGCTCACATATATAGTATGTTTTTTTACTCCTAAATACCTGACCGGGTGCCCAATAACCCACATTAATACCTGCTCGAACTACTGACCATCTGTTCTCAGGTAAGACGCAATACCCACGGGTCTCTTACATTTTCAGTTTAATATTATAGTATTGTCAATGTGTATACGTTTCGTTTTGACCGCAATCTGAACGCCATGATGTAGATGGTCAAAAACATTTACAACTTATAAATAAAATTTTGCAGCAACACAACACAAGCTCAAACTAAGCCACTGTAAAATACATTGACCAAACACAACTATGTTCTGTGCAGAAAGTGATGCGCATGTCCACGGCGCATTTTTGTACTTTTGTGTTTAGGGGGTGGGAAGTGGGCTAAAGACAAAAGTGAAATGTTGGTGTCGCTTCCGCAGCCAAAACTACACTTAGGGACCGTGATGATGATTTTGATGGAGAAGGATGAACAATGTGAATGATCCCCCCGCAAAAAACAGACTGGCCACGAACAAGTCTGGTATTGGCGTAGCTTGCATCTCAGTCAGTAACGTGGTCAGCTCTAGGTTCAAGGAATGAAGGCTTACAGACATATAGAGGACAGTTATTGACAGCGCACATATTGACATGGACCAGGACTGTACGTCGTTGGCAGCGACGCGATTGCCAGAAGGTCGTCTTCACTGATGAATGCGGTCTATTGAGCGCTGATAGAAGACAGCGGAAAACGGCGACATGTCGTGTTCAGGAGGTCGTGGTCTGTCGTGGACGGTGTGTGATGGTGTTGGGATGAATTGTGGGTAGAATGTTTCCCCTGGTCATCGTTAACGGAACGTTGACAGCTCCCATTGATTGCATATTTCGTACAATTGCCTTACCAATTCTCAAAACAGATGCCACGTGTTGTCCAACACCAGACCCCATACAGCCCAAATCAACCAAATCCTACATTCAACCCACTAGTACTGATCTAGTCAATCATCGAAGAATGGCGACGTACCCCACGAGACGTCATCAGAAGACCGATATTGTCTGTGCGCCAGAGACCTTTGGGTGTTTATACAGGGGGTACATACTTTGTTACTTTGTTACTGAATTTGATATATATTCGGCTGCGGTATCTTCAATACATTTACTTCATGCATCCGTCGTTTGTGATTTTTAAACTAGATTAAATTAAAACTATGGTAAAATTTCATTTGGTTGTCAGTTTATATTGTGGATAGTTAATAAATCCTGTCATTTATGATCCTACTAGGGAACCACTGAATGACTGTTTGTGTTTTTCGCGGGTTTTCCCTTTCTCTGATCGCAGTTTCCAAGGCAAGGTGTTAAAAATTGAAACCGAGTTGTTTCAGAGATATGCGCTCTGTCAGAACCCACACCTGCTACAGTGGCTAATCTGTCCGGTACAAGAACCTACACCTGTTACAGTGGCCAATCTGTCCGGTACAAGAACCTACACCTGCTACAGTGGCCAATCTGTCCGGTACAAGAACCTACACCTGCTACAGTGGCCAATCTGTCCGGTACAAGAACCTACACCTGCTACAGTGGCCAATCTGTCTGTTACAAGAACCCACACCTGCTACAGTGGCCAATCTGTCTGGTACAAGAACCCACACATCCTACAGTGGCCCATGGTTGGTCTGAGTACGTCAGCCGCAACCTGTCTGTAAAGAGGCCTCACTAAAACAGCACCGTCTGTGTCCTCCCGGAACAACTAAATATCACGAACTATTACTAGCAGTTCAGGGGCTACGATTATAAAAAAGCCCGGGCTTATACATGAGTGTTGCTGAAAAGGTTGGGCAAGCCCTCAATACTATCTTAATATAAAGCTTTACAACCTATCGGGCTTGCGCGGAAAAAATGGCTTGCTACGCGCCTGCAGTTTCGATATTCATGGAACCTTCACAAAGATCTTTCACTACGTGAATGCTCGTGTCATCCCCTTTGGTGCAAGAAGCCCGATATGAAGAACAAAGTGATTGAAAAGTATTTCAGTCATATCGCGACATGTCAGATCAGTGTGGGTGGAAACCCCAAAAGGACACAGATTGCAGACGTTTATTTCTGGGACCAACTATGCTAACAGACATCAGATGATAAAACGTCATGTCGGCTCTTCGACCAGCGGATCCTGAAACGGTTAAGAAAAGCAACTCCAGCGACCATTCAGTGTCTTTAAAAACAGAACAGTCACTGTCCCTGTCTAGTTCAGTTATCAGCGGGGCCTGATTAGCTGTTCTACAGATGTCCGGTAATGGCTTTGTTCCGCCATTGTGCCGTCCATCTTCCGGTTTCATCTGCTATGACGTCGTGTTTGCGAAGAAAGACGGGAGGGTTTGACCTGATTTACATGAATAGTTTTGAAGTAACATTATGGCATATATGGGACTGTATTAATAGTATGAAGTGTGTCTTCAAACTGCGGTAATGTACGCCTGCTGTTGATGTGATGCCAAACGCGAGAGAAGGGACAACCACTTCCGTCTCATCAGACTATATCCGCTATGGATGATGGGATTGTCCCTTAAAAGGGAACCTAGTCTGATACTACTATCTTAGCAACATTTTATATGCAGATACCTGCTGAGCTGTTCTTTCAAGAAAGTATTAGACTGTTAGCTATATATAACCAGCCACAATTACACACAATATGTCTTCGCGCCGTGGTTTAATCAGGGTTGTTTGGTTGGTCGTGGTTATTGTACATTTGTTGTTTTGTGATTTTGTTTACTTTCGCCTTTTAGCTAGTGTCGATTGATACAACCCATTGTACACTACAATAAACCTGATAGTTTACATCACGTCACGTCACGTCACGTCACGTCACGTCACGTCACGTCACGTCACGTCACGTCACATCACATCACATCACATCACATCACTTAAGATGCAATGCAAGTGACTTATCGTACACAGGTCGGTTAAATATCCCATACAGTTTCACTCGTCAGTTATGTAATGCAATTGAAATATTGAAATAATGAAGTCGAAATATAAGAATTTTAAACATTCAGACCATCTTCATTATATTTAATACTGGCATAGTTAAATTACTGGAAGCCGTAGAATTTTTCTGATTGGCCTTTAAAAAAGAATATATATTCGTTTTATTTTTTGCATAATACTGTATCATTTCTCTTTGAATAAGTCAAACGTATGTACGTTTTTAGTCATGTTCATTATTAACAGAAACATCATTCGACCGATTGTTACTGCTATTTTTATTTCAAGATATAAAGTATTATTTTGAAAATTGAACTTCATGCCTCTTATAACTTCCAAACTATACTGAAGGAAAAAATATAGGATCGCATCTATCTTTTAGAATGATATCTAAATGACTTACCTTGATTGGAAGTGTACCCAGACGTTGCCAGACGTGGAGGACATACTCGATACTGACTTTCTTTATTTAAACTGAAAACAATGAATCAAGTCTGCTATGTTTGACGTAATTAAAATCTGAAATTTTATGCGAGACCTTATTTTTTTCTCTCATTATATTTAGTCCTTTCCATGAGTTAAGGTGTTGTAATTGTTCATTTTGAAATTATTAAATGTCTTTCACTTTGTTTGCACCTACAAACTTCTGTCGGAGAGAAGTAATAATAACAATTACTTTTGGAGATAAGCGAAGATAAGCGAGTACATAAGAATCCAGGGCCTAGAATTTCGAAGCTCTCTTAACGCTAAGATAGTCGTAAGTGCCATACATTAACATTAACTTACGACTATCTTAGCGCTAAGAGAGCTTCGAAAATCTAGGCCCAGATAGGCACAGATCTAATATGTAGACGCAGTATTATTACTGACACGAAATGTAATCTTTGACATTCTACAAACATAACTGTTATTCGAAAGAAACATGCACAAAGTCTGCTTCATACACACATCCAAAGCTTGCAAACATTTATCATTTTGCAACAAAAGTTCACTAATTAAACATGGTTAAATAATGAAGGAATCACCAAGCGCTCCCATTGCACTCTCCTCCTTGCTGAATTCATTCTTTAGTGAATATAAAATCTCGGAATTCAATTTGGTAAATAAGTTAAACTGAAGCTTAAGGGACTTCGATTACCTTAAAAGTTTCAATAATTTCTCTGAGTGGCATTTAGAAGTTGGTGTGATGAACAAAGGGGAGAATTCTATGGCTGTATAATTTCTATATTGTTAATGTGAACGATGTTTCGGTGTAGCTGCTAACAAAATTATCACGCAAGTGATCAAGCACCGTAATCAAGCATGTGATACCGGTGTTAGCAGCTACACCGAAATGGCGCTCACATTCACAATAAAAAACATATACAACCACAAAGCTCTCTCTGTGGTTCAAGAATTGTCAAATAGGCAAATTTCTTCCACAGATTTTTCAAACCGAATCAGAATATTTACGGGCCTGTGCATTTGACCCATTTAATCAGTCCTTCCGTCCATTCATCCATCCATCACGCACTCAGTCACTCACTTATTACATAGAAATGGATCCTATTTTCTGTCTGATCATGTCATTTGTACATTTCAGTGATCTTCCTGCTTCTTACGGTGTACATATTACCCACTTCCGGTTTTGTCTTCAACATCCGGTCCAGTCCCGACCCCAACAGAAACCGGTGTGGCCTAAGATGGATCAAAATGACAATTCACCCCCCGACAATGTACGCCAGTCGGTGTCAGTCGGCCACTGTGTACACTCGCGGATGCAAGGGAGGGTGTGAGTCCTACAGCAAAATAGATTATGAGCGCAATGCCACGAACATACAGAGATATTGCAGGTGAGACTTTCTTCGATACCTGTGCTCAAAAAGCCATTTAAGGTAATTGTTACCAAACCTATGTGTGATCACTTCCCAGAGTTCAATGCGACCAGCATAGCGCCTCTGCTACAAGCAGCCGTTATGTGACCGTACGTCACATCGTACACACTCCGTAGAATATATTGTATATTATTTTTCAACTGCTTCATTTTTGAGAAGTTAAACATATGTGACAGTTTGTTTTCGCTGAGGAAATAATTGAAGCATGTAACACTATTTGGATTTGTGTAGCTATAGTTTTACGGCTCCACAGGCTGTTATCTGAGACTTGCGGAGAGCTGGTGATGAGTGAGTGAGTGAGTTTAGTTTTACGCCGCACTCAGCAATATTCCAGCAATATGGCGACGGTCTGTAAATAATCGAGTATGGACCAGACAATCCAGTGATCAACAGCATGAGCATCGATCTGAGCAATTGGGAACCGATGACATGTGTCAACCAAGTCAGCGAGCCTGACCACCCGATCCCGTTAGTCGCCTCTTACGACAAGCATAGTCGCCTTTTGTGACAAGCATGGGTTGCTGAAGATCAATTCTACACCCGGATCTTCACGGGTCAGCTGGTGATGAAGTCACATTGATGTATAATAAATATTGTCATATACCTCACTTTCGCAGTTCTAGAAATATATTTGTATAACTATGCAAAACAATATGAAGAACGCACACACCGAAAGTTTCTTATTAGGCCTTTCTCATTTAGGAATAAGCGCGTTTGTTTCCAAACAATAGAAAAGTTCGGTCACCTGATGATGTGTAACACCTCTGGCTCTCACAATGCCGAAATATGGGTGCATTTATTCTCGCAGTACAACTATGTGAGGTGGAGCTAACAGTTTACACAGTCAGACAGAGACTACCAGGGATAAGGTGAAGTCAGGCTGACCCTTGGGCAGCCGATGGGCTGGACTCCCTGGTCAGTGTTCCTCCTTGTCCCTCGCTTGCCTTTCTGCTGGTCTGCCCACGCTCTTCCTACTGTCTGTCAGCTCAACCTGTGCTTGCCTATCCTGCCTGTTTTAGAGGCAGATGAACGACTAACAATCTGCTTAGCTGGTTACATTTTTTTACAAGCTTGACATATCTCTGACAAGTGTACATCACAAATAGTGTTACAAACCCACTTTTCTCGATAGAATTTTTCTATTTTCTTCTCAATTTTCTAGTCCACTACTTCATTTACGTTCAACATACGTTCTTGGTGGGTCCAGTGTTTCCATGCTTCAAGATGAAATATAAACAACAACCCTCTCTGCTGCATACTATAATCTGTAAAACATAATAATACATAAATGATAGTCTAAGAGAATCAACTGATTCTACATTTATTCCATAACAAAAATGAGTACTTACACTGTCATCGATTTATCACCGTTGTGTTCAACGAATGTATATATGGACCCACAGGCATCAAGCTGTAGTAAGTAATTACAACATGCCCGCAAATATAGAGTTTTTCAAATGGGTTCTTAGTTTTCAAAAGACATTGTTTACGGACTCACCTTACAACAAATCAGTGGCACTGTGGATTCACATCACTGTTGCCTTGTTCGATGTATCTGTTAACTGGTTCACCACGCCTGGAGCCCATTACCATTACATCATATGTTACAGCAACAATCTCCGATGTAGGTTTCACACAACAGGTGCTTCATTTTCTAGCCGGTTCAGGTTCCCGTTGTCATAGTGTTCCTCTGTGAACGTGACATTCACCATCAGTATCAACTGGCACCATCTCAAACTCAGCCATTATCAGGTCTTGTATCGGTGGAAACTATCCAGCGACCAGTTGTAGCACATTCTGTCATCAGCAAAATGGCACTAGGCATCACGTCTGGTCAACATGTCTGTTTGATCTCATCTGTATTTTTCATAAATAGAGCCACATAGAGCTGACTTAAATTGATTGGGTATATATGACTTTGGATAGAGCAGTAACCTGTTAAAGGCTGGGTACATGTTTCGACCTACCTTCCTCATTTGCCGCCTCCGTGGTTTAGTGATTAGAGCGTCCGCCAGGAGAGCGGAAGGTCGCGGGTTCGATCCCCGGCCGCCTCATACTAATAGACGTTAAAATATGGTACTTGTTGGTCACTGTGGCGCTCGTCATTAATGGGTACAACAAGGACTGGTCGCCTCGGAGTCAGTATAATGTGTCTGAGTGGGGTATGCATGCTTAACTGCGGCATGGTATCTCAGTGAGTTTGTGCTATAAAACCAGCTTAAGTCTGGGCTAGTACAAGCAGCTGCACATACACATACACACGCATGCACGTCGTCGTATGAGTGAAATATTCTTGAGTACGACGTTAAACCCAATTTCACCTCACTATTTTATAGACGTTAAACTTCTTGATTTTCAATACAGATTTTTGCAAAGAGTTATTTATACTAAAAACGAATTATCGAGAATGAACCTGATTGACAATGATTTGTGTAGTTTTTGCAATGATGTTTCTGAGAGCATTTGTCATGTTTATTTGGAATGCTGGGAAAGCATGAAATTCTGGAATGATCTAGAACTCTGGATTAATAACTATTTACCACGAAAAATAAACATCACAAAATATTTGATTTGGTTTGGTACATTGCATAATGATGTATTACTAAATCAAATCATTATCTCTGCCTAAAAAGATATCAATTTATGTAATATAAAAAAATCAATTCCAAAATTCAATAATTATAAAAAGGTATTAAAAGAGATATTTTCATGCAGAAAAAAATTATTTCAAAGAGAAACAATGAAATCGAAAAATTCAATCTTAAATGGAATTCGCTCATCCCAATATTCAGCAACTAATTATTATCACATCTCTACAGCAATGTATCTTCACCTTTTCTGTGCTCGTTGCTACCATATACCCTTGTTATTGACTTTGTAACCATGGGAACAAATAAAAATATTAAAAAAAACATTTTTAACAAATTTCTCCTCACCTCGCCTCACCTCACCTCAACTCAACTCACCTCACCTCACCTCACCTCACCTCACCTCACCTCACCTCACCTCACCTCACCTCACCTTCCTCATTTACAGCTAACACATGATCGTTGCCACCATGCTGCTCATGTCTCGGGTGCTTTTAACGAAATCATGGACAAGTTCCAGTTGATCTTGATATAATTTCAAATTAGCTGTTATTATTCTACAAGGGCACTGGAGCAATTATCAGAATTTTATCATCATCTAATACCTTAGTTCACGTCAATGTTTTGTAGTAAAACGTCGGGTTTTCCAGTTAACTTAAAGTTTGTTTGCAAATGGACTATTACCTTGTTTAGAGTGAGTGAGTGAGTGAGTTTGGCTTTACGCCGCTTTTAGCAATATTCCAGCAATATCACGGCGGGGGACACCAGAAATGGGATTCACACATTGTGCCCCGTGGGTCTTCAGCGTTTTGGCGAGAGCGAATGCTTTAACCACTAGGCTTCCCCACCTCCCTACCTTGTTTAGAAGGGTCATTAAATGGCTAGGAGTAATAGTGCTTGGGGATAGTGCTAGCAGATGTGATTTACCAGGGCGTGTTCCAGGGATGAAATCAACTTTTGTAACATTTGTCTAGTTTCTTCAATTACTAAATAAATTTACAAATATGTTTTTCTTGTCCATTCTGATCTCGAAATTCGTTCATTCATTGGTTTACCATTAGAAATGGTTCTCTCAATTAAACCCAGGTTGTCAATGCCTTCATTAATGGCATATGAGTTTGCTGAAATTTGTACTTGGATCTGTTACAGAATCGATCATTCTTCCTATACTATGGAAGCTAATCCTATCTGATTGTCATATTTCTTCATATCTGCATCAGATACTTTGCCAAAGAGGAAACATAGTGCCTTCCCGGCAAAGTGTTCGGTGTGCAATCAGCTAAATTCTGTTTTCATTAATCCCATGAAGTGTAAATTAAAATAGAATTGAAACCCATGGCTTCGCCATGTCGTTTAGAAACATGCCTGTCAACCTGTCTGAATGATGGTGTTCCAGTAATTTCTGAACAGTCAATCTTACTTTTTCTGTGATATTTTAGCACCTCATTATAAACTACGGGGAAAGTCTATGACAAGCCACTGGTACCTGGTTGTTGTGATTTCATTAAGTTTTTGAAAAACAACTTTTACAAATGACATAACACCTCTGGCTTACCCAAATAGGAAAAGTAACATTGGCAGATACATGTTTCTCTTAAACAAACGATGAAATACACGGTTTCTATGTACAACTATATGCAAAGCTCACGAGAATCCTCACAGTTAGCCAGATACTGTTTCCAGCAGCTTCTTCACTTTCCAACCCATGTTTGATGCTTCACTTAGTCTGTCTTAAGCCGTTATAACCAACTAACTGTCACGGGGGATTAACTGTACTGTGTGAAAGCCTGTCTGTCCGTCAGCACCCATGTCATCATCACTAAGCCTGTCATTGTGAGTTTGACTAAGGTCAGTTAAAGTTTCAGCATTATCTCTAGCCTATGTGATAAATCGGCTGATGGTACATCTTCCTCTTCTTCAGAATCAGACCTTTCCTTTTAATATTGTTTAGTAGTTCTCACTAATGGACCAGTTGTCACACTGTCAGTGTCGTCACTGCTGTAAGCACTCGGTGGGACCTAATGTTTAGGTTTTGTTACCTGAAATGTCTCAGGGTATCTACCACTCATCTTACTTAGGTGCTGTGCATGTGCTTCAGTGGTGGTTTCATCTAACTGATTTCAGATAGTGTGCTGCTAAATGATAGCGTTTGCTCTGTCAATATGTGAAAAGGTTTCAATTTGTTTTGCAATTTGTTCTTACTTTGATGGTTCTTGCAACAGACAGGGTCACCTACATTAATCTCATGTGGCTTGGTTGTCCTGTCTGCAAACCTAGCCTGCCTCTGTATGGCTTTCGTCATGTCTACATGGACCAGTATGCTCTTGTATTGCTGTTGAAGAGCAAGATGGTGCTCATCTTCCCCTAAAT